TGTCAAAAATGAGAGATGCCCATTTCAAGAAAGCCAGAATCAAAGCACAGGCCTTTAGCAAGGTAGCACAAGGTACAATACTGGTTTACCAAGTGAATTAACCCCCACATCAACCAATCAGAAATCTCCTAACTGTTCTGATTAGCTGCAATAGTGTACTGTTTGCAGATCGGTATTCTTCATTATATTGGATAACTAAAGCAGCCCATACAAGGAACCTTCATTTTTATGGTTTACCTGGGCATTTTCACTCCGTGTTGTGCATACAGCAAAAGAAGAGGAAATTACACAAATATATAATTGTGTAAGTCACTCAAGTACAACCATTTCTGGATTTCCTTTATGAGTTTGGGTCCTTTCACATGATGCTGCTCTGCTCTGTTCAGCAGGGATCAATGAGCAGCTTCCAATACTGATCTGAAGCTGAACAGGATGGATGTCAGGTTTTGGGGCGTAATGTTCAGTTTTTTATCTAAATTTTGACAGCTGACTGTGGTGGACCCTTGTGGGATCTATGGGCTGCTGTTTGTAAATTGACTTAGTAAATGTCCATTTACATTAGGCTACCACAGATCTGTCACGTTAAAACTCAAGAATTTTTTTCCAGACCTGGGCAGACTCTGAGCTTGGAGGACGTTAATGAAGACAAACCACAGAAATATAGAAAGTGCCTGACCAAAATTGGGTAAAATTGTTGACAAAAAAAAGTCATAAAAAACCAACCAAGATGTTTCAGGGGCAACACCACTCTCACTTCATCAAGGCTCAACACAGGATGACTTCACAGATCTATGTAAGAACCTGTAATGAACTTTCCTCATGGAGGAACAAAAGGACAGCAGTTGCTGAGTAGCAATGGACTCCATCAGAGTCCATCCAGATTTTATCTTGTTTTGAGCCCTGATGAAGGGGAACTGATATTGCCACCTAAATGTTTGAATATTTTTGTATAACAATTCAAATTACCTTGGACTTTTATCCAATTTTGGTTTGGCGCGCCTTTACTTCTTTCTATGGTTTGAGCTACTGTTGGATGCCCATTGAGAGAAGCCTTACTGTGTGGGAGCCGCCTCACCAGAACTATTGAGCTTGTTTAAAACTTTCCTTCATCTGACTACACCTGCTAGTCTAAAAAGTTCCCAACATCTTTATAAGTATTTTGTAAATGGACACGAGTCCTCTTGCATCTGCCTGCTCATACACCAGCAGGGAGCGTCCGATCAGGTCTGTCTGAAAAATTGACAGGTGGACCAGATTGGAAAGTCCGTGTGAAAGAAACCTTAATAAAGCCATTTGTGGATAATTCTAGCACCAAAAACTAAAGAAAAGAAGGGAGTTGCAGAGGCTGCTGAGAGGAGTCCTAGAACTGTGGTGAAATGCACAATCTTTTTGCTTAGTCTTCCACAAAAAGCCATGGTGCATGGCAGTCTATTCTATGTATAGTACCAATAGATACAAAAAAGCATGATAAAGCCAACTTGGACTTTAGAAATATACATACAGTGGACATTTTCTTAAAAATGCAAAAATGTACCTCTTAACCTGGAGATTGTTGTAGCTTATGTACTGAAATTTAGAATATAAAACCAATCACATTATTTGCTGCTATTAGATACATCAAGAACCCAATTAAATTAGCCCGATTGGAAAACTGTGACCAGAAAAGCAATAACTGACTACGCCACCACTGCCAATATTTTCTGTCATCTAGCCTGAACAAATGTACCTTATTTAAAGCTCAACTCCAGGCAAATATTTAACACACATTCATGAGGTTCTGCATCAATTATACAGCCTAAAATGTACGTTTCTAAATGCAAGCAAAGCAAATACCCAAATTTGACTTGGAATTAGCCTCTTGTAGTTCCTGTACAGCAGAGCTCATACTGGGGGTGTATGGGGTGAAGCTGAAGCACCACAAGGAGCCAATCAGGTGTGCTGAAGTTCAAGGAGCATGCAGATATGAGCAGACAGCAGAGTGGCAGAAAGTTAAGCTCATCAGTCTGCAGCTTCTTCTGTCCTAGGCTGGGGGTGGATGGGGAGAGGACTTTTAAGGGTTACTTAATGGCAGGTGGGAAAAAAAACAGGTCTCCTACCTTACCTGTGATGTGGTAGTGCTCTTCAAATCTAAGAATTGGATGGACAGAAAGACAAATCCTTTAGCAAGTAAACCAACAGTATGGGCCAATAGGACAAAGATTCCAGGTTTGATAATTTTTAAATGTATACAATAAATCAATATACGGTATCCCCTTCAGATAATATATTACAAAATTCCACAATGCATGTAAATCTTTCACCCCAAAAAGTGTAATGAGCTAATAAGTAGATATGCTTATAACCAAACCAAAACAGTGAAAAATACCCAATCCGAAATATCTAAGTCCTGATATCTGAAAATGTCCTTCAAAGTAAATAAAGTCACTCAAAAAATAAAAATCATACAGAAGTTCAAAGAAAGCGTCCATGTTGAAAAACAGCCTCCAATATGGACGCTTTCTTTGAACTTATGTATGATTTTTTTTTATTTGTGAGTGACTTTATTTACTTTGAAGGACATTTTCAGATATCAGGACTTGGATATTTTATATTGGGTATTTTTCACTGTTTTGGTTTGGTTATAAGCATATCAACTTATTAGCTCATTACACTTTTTGGGGTGAAAGATTTACATGCATTGTGGAATTTTGTAATATATTATCTGAAGGGGATACCGTATATTGATTTATTGTATACATTTAAAAATGATCAAACCTGGAATCTTTGTCCTATTGGCCCATACTTGGTGTTCATTAGAAAAAATAGTTTTCACCAAACCCCCCCCAAAGAAAACCATGAACTTTGCTACAACAGTCATACTGTATTACAACTGAGACTTGGAAAAGGGCACATGAATGAGTAGTTTGATATAAACTAGCTCCTTCTGTAGAGTACCAAATTCAGCAGCAATCTGGTAAACCATTAACTGTCACACTTGTCTTTCACAGCAAGGCCAAGAATGCCCTACTTAGGATCACAGTATTGCACACCAAATGAGACCCAACAAGTTATCTGGAATTATTATGCACACTAGGTACATGAGTCACTGTAGACTAGTACTTCTAATGGTTACGCACCATTCCGACCTATCTGAGCACTCCTGTATTTAGTGACTCCAAGGCACTGTGTGAAAAGCATCCACCATACTACTGACTGAACTTTATGGTGAAGGCAGATGACAATACTCATCAGCACTTAGTTTCCTTTGTACACCTAAATTCATGTCAATCAAATTTTTAAAATATTCAAAGTGTCCATAATTTTGACAATTTGTATGGGAACATTGGTATTCTGAAAACATGTTGATTTTTATGAGTCTGAATAAATTTGAATCTAGACTCTGTGTTTGATTTTTGGTACTTTTTCAGCACACCCAGATTTTAACTGTAGTCTGTGTCCCCTTTGAAGAAATTTTCTCTCGGTCTAGTTAATGTCTGTCACTGGAATTATAGTAATTTCCCCCAGAAGGGACTAAGACAGCAATGGAAGCCCACAGAAGTTAAAACCTTTCCAAACTTTATCTGAAATAAATGAAAATAAAAATCAGTTGATTAATAGCTTTGAACTAATTCATTTCTTAGAATGGATTCACTTAAATAACTGCCCAGTTGTGCATCAATTCCAAGGTGCCTACTGTTGCCATGACCACATTCCTCTCCCATTTTCTCCTTGGCATTACAAAAAAAAAAAAAAAAAACCTCACCTCACAACAATGTACTTCTGGGTACGTTAGGTGTGCTATCAAATGAGGGGTAGGGGGGCAATGTGCTAAGGCCTGTGCAAGTTACCACTTTTAGAAAGTCTAGACTTGCACCAGAATTTCAGGGCACTTTTGTGTCCAAGATCTGCATCATAACAACAGACAGCTTGTCCTGCCTCCTAGACAACCTGGAAGCTAGTTAGGGCCACTTTCACAAAGGGCAGAATTTGATTTGCTCAGCAGGGAATCTGTCCATAGACACCAGTAGGTCCATGGATGCATGGACCATCCAATCAGTTCCGACTGAAAAACTGATGCGAAAGGGGTCTACAGTGTATCAATAGTTTTTTTTTTTTTTTTAAAGTTTTTTTTAGGTTTAGCTACAGTGGGGAAAAAAATTAAAACCCCTGTTAGGCTTTTCTATTATGTGGAGCTCTTTTAGAGAGATTTCTTCTTACTCACTATCCAGAGGGACAACCCAAGACAGAAAGTGAAGGAAACTTTCCAACAGAAGTACATATTTTTCCAATAATTAGGGGAATGCTTGAACACCGTTGCAAGTTTTCCCTCACTTCCTGACTGTTAAAAGGGTCTTCAGAACAACAAAATGAGGGGAAATCTTGGGTTCTAATCCTTCCCCACTCTGTCCAAATTAAAAAAAAATAAAAGTTTTGGTTACAGATACATGTTGTAAGTATGTACCAAGTACACTTTTCCATTAAAAAAATATATTATGGACAACTGTGCACATGAAATACAAGATCTGCAAACCACGTGAGATCCAAGAACTGCAAACCACATAAGGATTCAATTTGGGGATAAGAACATTGCGGAACACTTAAGAGCACAAGACCTTCTTCAAATGGCATTCCCTCAAATACCTACATGGTAGTATGTGAGAACTATACAACATTTAAAAAAAGTCAAAAACAGACATAACACAATATAAAAAAGAAAACAAATACAACATTACATAGATTAGAACACAAACATTTCAGGTAAAATTTTGGTTTACACATTATTTTTTGAAAAGTCTTTTGACTTCCTCAGAGGCATTACTGTGTACATTAGAGTTTTTCGACTCAGCACATGTTGCTTCAAAGACAACAATGGGTTTTGTCCGAGTCCTGAAGCCCTTGTCCACTTCCCTTCTTCTAAGCGACGTGCTTGCAAAAGTGCTCCCTTTGCTGTTGGGTCCTTAATGATTTGTGCTCTATGGCCACTGCTACAGTCCTTCAGAAATAAGTTTAGCAGTTTAGTCTCAGTCTTTCATTCTCGGTATATTATATGCATAACGAACTAAGGGAAATCCACGGCTCTGATAAAAGCAGGCACGACCACAGGCCTGGACCTGATCAGAACTGTCCGACACAAAAGAATCTTCCTCGTCTGCACAATCTGAATGGGCTGACTGAGTACCAAAGTCTGACCAGTAGTTTTCTGATCGATGGCAAGGCACAACTGCTAACGTTGGACAACTGTGAGACTTTATCAAGTGTTTGCAAGGAAGTGGATTCTTTAATAGAACAGTCTCACAGTAATCACAAACTGCAAAGTTACCTTGTAGGTGAGAATACATTCCAAAGTCATAATAAAAATCTTGAGTCACGCATCCCCTCTGCGCATTGGTTGCAACTGCAACAGAGCCACTTCGCTTTGTCAAGTGCCACTTCAAAAGCTTCCAGTCTTCTTTGAACTTGGGGTTGAAAAAACACATACAGTACTGGATTGAGGCAAGCTGGCAAAGGAAAAAATATCAAAGTCACAGATTTCATGATTTCTGGAGTGATGGAAATCGCTGTAATCAGTGGTGCAAAGGAGAAGAAAGCAACGGGACAAAAGAAGATGCAGTTGGTGAAGATCAGCCAGGCCACATGTTTGATCATACTGGATTCAGCACTTTCTGAGAGGTCTTCCTTGTCCAATGTGCAGTACAGTTTAGTGTAGGTGATAACCATGACCAAAAAAGCCAGGGAGTTGAGAAGAACCAAGGTAACCGTAAAGCCCAAGGAGGGTGTTTCTCCTGTCGGGAAAGGCAAGCAGAGAGGAGAGGAAGAAAACTCTCCGACATGAAATAATGGCAAGCATCCAGCTGCTATGGCAAGAAACAGAGCAAGAATTGATGCAATCTGAAATTTCCTTAAATGCTGGCTCTTTTCCTTCTTAATTATATCCTTTGCAGACAAACTCCGTTCGATGGCTGCCAAGGTCAAGAAAAAAATGGCACTCTCTGAAGAGAAAATTGCTAGGAACCCAGCCACTTTGCATCCACTGCCAGTTTCCCACCAGATGCCAAACTCTGCAAAATGTCCCCAAGAGACCGTGTCCAGTACTGTCAAAATGCCAGTATAAATGCCCATGAAGAGATTTGAGACAGAGATGAGACCAATGAAGAGTTTTGAGGATGTCAGTGAAGAGCAGGAAACAAACATGGTCACAATGACAATAATGTTGAAGATCAGGGCTAAAAGGAAGATAAACCACACTGTGAGCCGTATCATCCAGCTGCCAAGCAGGTACTCACAAGGTTTGAAAGCACCTGAAAAAAAAAAAAAAAAAAAGTTTTAATATAATAAACTAGTAATAAGCATAAAGTTATATCCACATAGCAGGCAAAGCCTAGATGTGAATAAACAGGTTTTTATCTGATTCAGTGAAAGTTTACATCTCTCAGTGCTTGCACTGACTGCTTGAAACCTGTGTACCTCATCACTGGAAAGACTGTTCCATTCTGTAATTTCAGCATCACTAAATCTAAGCTGTCCAAGAACAGCAGGAGAAAAGCAACAGCTGAAAAGTTTATATGTGCAAATTTACTTGAATAACCTGGACAATGGAGTCGAGGGACAAAGATTTAAAATTGCACTTATCCTCTATAAAACTAGAAAAGTACATAAGCTGAAAATTAAAAAGGACTGTCAGGTAACGACCAAATCAAATCATGTACTTACAGAGGGGCCATTGGTCATTGCCAGCCTAAGCCATGTCTGAATGTCTATGGCTAATTTGCAAATATGTTCTAGAGCTTTCTGATCAGAAGGCTTGACTCCTGCATGCTCAATTATGCAAATTTTGACTTCATTTCCCAGAGTCAAGATCTGGTACAACCCTTCCTATATCTCACTCAGTCGAGCTCAGGGGCGGACAACTCATGGGGCCCCCGAGCAATAGGGGATCATGGGGCCCATGTCCTTGCCCACATTCAAAGCACTCCCAAAAAAACCCTACTGACCTCAGGCAATGCCTGAGTGCTCGAAAGGTCAGTCCGCCCCTGGTCGAGCTGCAATTACACTGATGGATCAACAGTGAGGCACAGGTGGTGGTGATGAGTCAAAGCTAGATTCCCAAAGCAGGGATGTTGAATTCCTATCACCCGATGCCCAGGACATGTAGTTCAGGCAGGTAGTTTTTTTTTTTACCTTCAGCCCTGTTGCGGGCAAGCAGCAGGGCTCACCTGCCAGGTGGAAGCATTAGGGGGGCAGCGCTGCCGCCGAAATCCTTCCACACAGTGCCAACCTCTCTGCCCCCCCGTGTGAATCTCCCTCCCCCCGTCCACTGTCTCACAGGCTCCGTTTGCCCATCTGCGGGCCTGGGACTGGCTCACCGCCGCCGGCTACAGGAGAGGGAGGAGAGCGGATACATCCACTCCCTCTCCCCTTCTTGTCCTGACCTGGAAGTGATGTTATGATGTCACTTCCGGGTCCCAGTTGAGAGATTCCCAGCAATTGAGGCCAGGAAAGAATGTAATGCAGTGCGACGTACACTACATTACATTCAGGGGAGCACAGGGGAGACATCCAGGATCTTTTACACCTTGGATGTCTCAATAAAGGGAACCTGTCATCATCAAACAATCATCACATAGGCAGGGGCGGACTGACAACTCATGGGGCCCTCGAGGCAATAGGGGATCATGGGGCCCCTGTGTCCTTGCCCACATTCAAAGCACACCCAAAAAAGCCTATAAAAAAAAGGTACCAGGGGCATTTCATGGGGCCCCCTACTGACCCCGGGCACTCGGGCAGTGTCCGAGTGCTTGAATGGTCAGTCTGCCCCTGCACATAGGGGACACTATGTGATGAAAAAAAAATTAAGTAAAAAATATATATTTTTTTTTTATTGTAAAAAAATGAAAGTTACACCCAAGCACATAACACCCCCCCCCCCCCCCAAAAAAAAAAAAAAAAAAAAATCAAGGCCCCTTACACCCAAATACAAACTTAAAAGCACACGCATGGAAAAGTCGATTGCGATGCACATGTTGCATATCGCCACGCATGCCAGAATGAGAGCAACTACTTTAGCACCAGACCTCCTCCGTAACACTATACTGATGACCTGTAGGGGGGCTTTAAAAGAAAATATAGGGTGCAAGGGTATAAGTGCACTCAAATTTAAGGCTTGACAAGTTGGGTATCTATTTACTCAGTGCAACCTCATCTTTTATATTTTACAAAAAAATAGGGTAATTATTTGCTTTTTTTTTTGCCCTGAAATTAACTAACTTGTATTTTTTACTGAAATTTTGAGATAATATCATGCTACATAAAAAATTGGAACCATCGCTATTTTATTCTCTAGGGTCTCCGATTTCAGAAAATATAATGTTTGTGGGGTTTTATACAATCTTCAGGCCTAAAATTATTTTTTTTTTAATCTTGTGCAAAAAAACGCAAAAACAGCTCTGGCAGCAAAAAGGGATAAAGGATAAGCCCGACACTCCCCGTTCCTGACAAGCACCCAATCAGTGCTCATTACGCTTCATCGTGTCTCTCTGCTCCCTGCTAGTCCTCGAGTGCAGTGCTGGAGACAGGTAGGGATTATTAAATGTTTAAGTCACCATAAAACCCCTTTTTGTTTTTAAAACATTCCTAATATCACCTCCGATTTAAATACAGTTTTTGTTATAAAAAATTTTATCTGGACAAGTAGATTGGGACACCGATTTAGTCCTTGGGCAAGTAGTTTTTTAAAAAAAATTCCCCACCCCTGCCAAAAATTGTAGTGTTTCGAAATACAGTGTCACCTTTTTAACATTGAGCCCAAAGCCATGCTTGCAAATAATAGGGTTAACATTTACCCCTCCCACCACTAATAAATGGTGTGTCCAGGTGCTACAATGGCAGCCATCTTTGGCATCCAGTCCACTTCTAAGTGCCTGGTCGTTGTCCCCCCCATTGTGTCTTGTGATGTAGGGTCCAGAGAAATCACTGCAGGCAGAGAGGGACCAGGCATTTGACACGTTTGGAAGTGTATAGGATGCCCAAGATGTTTTAGCCAGCGTAATTTCCTCCAGAGAGCAAGAACTGGTGGCGGGATGAGCATGTATTAACCAATTTTCATTGAAGATGAATAATATGTTTCCTTAAGAGCCTGCGTTAATTGTACAATTGCTGCAAATTTTATCTACAGTTAAGTAATGGTTCCGTAACTTACAGCATACATGGATCAACAGCAAGGACAGTATGTGCATTTTCAAGATAGTACTTATTAAAAGTCAATTTCCAATGGCTTAGCTGCTGCCACTGAGGGCAATTTTTCCACTTATTTTCTTGATAATTTAAAAAAGGACAAGTTCATCTTTGATAACGTTATGCCCCTATCCAGGGTGCAACATGTTACTAAATGACAGTCCCTGCACCCTCCCAAGCCCCTGTTGTGACATCGTGCTAGGGATCTTTTCCCTATACCAGTGGTTGCAATTAAAATAAAAATAAATAAATTTAAAAAAACAGCCGTTCCAGGGCTCTGCCACACCATTCATTCGCAGAGTTCTGTGGATAGGAGACCTACAACTATCATTGGCCAATGAGCGCTCTAGTAGTTCATTGATTCTTCCTGTGATTCAGTAACTGTTTGCCCGTGCAAGGTACAGGCAGACAACAACACTAACAGTCTGTAGGAGCCCCAAATTGCACCCCAGATCTGCTGATTGTTGGTGCAATGCTTTCTAGGCTCCTAATTGGAAAAAAAAAAAAAAAAAATCATTTTTTTTACCTGCAAAAAAGGTGGATTTATAATTTTTTTTTTTTTTTTTTTTTAACAAAAGGTGAATTTATTCTTTAAAAAAGGTGAATATAACCCAGCAGCATTTAAAAAAAAATATTGACAATATACCAAAGCCTTTCTGTTGGTTTTCTTTTTTGAAATGCAGTAAAACACCATGCAATTATTTATCGGATCTAATTTTCTATGCCATATTCATGTCAATTTCCTCCTCCTTCCCCTACCACTGGTTTGCACTAAGCAATCTTTTCTGGAAAGTCAGCATTTGCAGAGAACAGGATTCTACCTACACAGAACAGAATTACCTGTGGCTGGATTGCAGTGGACAGCAGCCTGGACATGGTCTTTCTCATCCTCTGTGATCATATAATCTTCAAGGGCTCCTAGGAAATAGAAGCAAAGGGTCATTAATTGGCGGGGATCGGGGATCATAAGTCGTACCTGTTACCGCTTTTTCAAAATATATTTAGATACATCGAAACATATCCATTGAACATTAAGCTTAAAATGTAGGCTTTTCTCAGGTTTTATCCCTTAAAAAAAAAAAAAAAAAAAAAACACTACATGTACAGAAAAATACCTGTATCTGCCATAAAACCACACACTGAACTCCAAACTTCCTTTTTGGACTGACAACATAGTGCATTTGTTGCACTGCATTCCCAAGCAGCATTATCTGCCGTACCTGCAGGACTACAGAACTATTCCTCTTCACATTCATACACTTCCAGCAAAACAATACAGCTGCCTCGACTCTCAAATGCCTGCCCACATGCAGTGTGTAGAAAAAGGGTTCTTGGGAGATGTGGTTCTGGGGTTGTGCATGCTTCAATAGGAACTGAGTTTCTAGGAACTGCTCCTGCAAGAATTTTGTAAGCATGGTACTGGAGCAGAGAGTAAAAAAGTTATTTCTCACTATGGGAGCAAGGTAAAGAAAAAATCTCTCTCCCCCCCCCCCCCCCCCCCCCCCCCCCCCCGACCATAGGAAGGTTTGTGGGTAAATTAGGTAGTTCCTGGAAATAAACTTTAATTACATCTGTCCTTGCTCAGCCTTATCATCATGCCTGCCCACGCAAAAATTAATTTTTTATTATAATGACCTGCATACGTAGTCTTAGAATTTACAAGGATAATATTAAAAGGTTACATTTGAAAAAGCATGCCCAGGCAATGTGTGTTTCAGTGCAGTGCTGACTTCACAAAGTATTTGGGATTGTAACCCTGTAGTCTACACACACTGTACATTTCTCAGTCTGAGCGGGGTTTAACCACTTGCCTACCGGGCACTTATACCCTCTTCCTGCCCAGGCCAATTTTCAGCTTTCAGTGCTGTCGCACTTTGATTGACAATTGACCAATCATGCAACATTGTACCCATATGAAATTTTTATCATTTTTTTCACACAAATAGAGATTTCTTTTGGTGGTATTTAATCGCCATTGGGTGTTGTATTTTTTGCGTAATAAACAAAAAAAAAAAAAAGAGCAACAAATTTTGAAAAAAATAAAAGTTTTTCTTTGCTTCTATTATAAAATTTTGCAAACAGGTCATTTTTCTCCTTCACTGATGTGCGTTGATGAGGCTGCAGTGATAGGAAACACTGATGGTCACCGATAAGCTGCACTGATGAGGTGGCACTGATGGGCATTGATGAGGAGGAACTGATGGGCGACACTGACTGGCAGCACTGACTGATGGCACAGCTGGGCACTGATAGGCGGCACTACTGGGCATTGCTGGATGGCACTGCAGGGCACTGATGATCAGGACACTGATGATCAGCGCAGATCTCCTCTGCGACAGCTGCCAGTTATTCGCAGTACTTTCCTCATGCTGTGACAGCGTGAGGAAAGTGCTGCCGATAACCGTCAACTGTCTTTACTCCGTGATCTGCTGCGTCATTGGACACAGCTGATCACATGAAAAAAGGCAGCTGTGATTGGCCTTTTACCTCATCACGTGACCAGCTCTGTCCGTAGGACACAGTGATCATGGAGATCGCCGGGTGCGTGCAGGTGGGAATGTTCTGGGAGGACGTCATATGACACCCTCCCAGAACTGGGTAACCGCGCTGTAGCCGTCATTCAGCTATAGAGTGGTTACCAAGTGTTTAAACATTTCGATACACTTTATGTATGCCTTTACTGCAAAATTCCAGTTTTGAACCTAAACATTTTGTAGATCATTCACTTTGCTAAGTGAACAGTCTCTATTCCCTTAGTAGAAGATCTCCTATATTTTCAGTTGATTCCCTGAATGAAGGGGCCCCTATTCACAAAAGGCAAAAAACATGTTAAAGGGTGAACCAACCCATATGGCCCAACCAAAACTCATCTTTCATTAATTTGCTTAAAGATTTATTTGAACAGTTTAACATTATTAAAGGACATCCTTGGATTACTTTCCTAGTCCCATGGTGCTCTTTAGTATATCTTGCCTGTTTTACACAATCGTTCCCTGGGAGTTGCATACCTTTCTCATGGTCCAGCAGTAATTTCTGATACTTTGATCCATCATCTTCGATAGTCGAGGTCAAATAAGAGTCACATGCAGAAAATGCACAGCATTGATAAGCATACGGGACAGACACCGACCTTAAAAATAGACAGGAATCCAACATCAAGAACAAGAAGAACATAATACATTATGTGCTCAATGATGCATTGCACAGATGTTGCAACATCAAAAAAAGAAATTGAGCTCTCATTGATAGAGAAAAAATAAATAAAAATATAATGGTCGTACAGACACGAATACAATTTTAACTGGATAGTTTATTTCTTACTCTGAAAAGAACTAAGTACATCCAAATTGGCTGCAGGGTGTTGATGAGCCAAAAGTTATAGGAGGTGACTGTGCCAAAATAATGTTCCACCTAGCTCAGTCCATTTTTAAATCGACTCCAATCAAGCCAGGTGGTGCTTGAAAGGCCACCCATGGGCAAATTTTGGTATATTCAGTAGAAATTGCTGAAATTTGATCATTATATGGCCAATCTTTTTGTGCCCAGTTCCAGTTGTTTGGATCAGGGGGTTTTTCTGTTTTTACCTTACCACACAGTGCCCTAAAGAACTGAGCACAGGCAAAAACTTACTGGAGTTTCAGAAAGTCCTTTGCCGACAGTGATTCTTTGAAGGTAGGATTGCCCGTAAGCCTAAGCTGGGCTAGGCCATGAAGTCCTCCAGTAGGAAACGTGGTCAATTCATTAAAACTGAGATCTCTGAAAACACAAACGCCATGTTAGCAGAATGACAGATGGGGAAAAAAAAAGCCATACACTATTACAGCAAAACCAAAAGACAAATTTTATCCAACCCCCCCCCCCCCAATAAAAAAAAGCAACATAAATGTAGTATATTCCAGTCCTTACATTCAGTGGCTTGATTTGTTTTCATTTTTCAGAGCGGTATGAATAAGCCCGTGGGAGGTTTTAATGCGTCAGAGGGGCGTGGCTTTGGAGGAAGCAAGCTGAAGCAGTTTGGTGATGGATTGGCAACTTGTTTGTGGCTCATGCTTTTTACCAGTCATTATAGCTATAGCAATCTATGCAATTGCTATGGGGCTCAGCAACACTGGGGGCCCCAACATTGCCTTATACAGAATGGAACAGCCTGAATGTATACACTTTGGAAACAAAAGCAATAGGATTCTGTCTCCCCGGAGGGGGGGGGGGGAGTGTTACAACCCTCGATAGACATACCTTTCTTAAGCATGGATCCAATTGCTTTTTTTTTTTTTGAACTGGAATCCTCTTAAATATGCTAGCATCATTTTGACATACGGGCATTAGAGGTGTGTGTCCCCCCATCTTGTAACCATGGTTGATAATACCATATTACAGAATTCACTTCTGGCCATGCATCTGACATTTCCTATATCACCACACAAAAAAATCTTAAGCTGACTAAAATACACCTTTCAAAGCATGTTTGTGGTTTTAATGTTACATTACGTTGTTTCTGTTTCTACCCTGGGGGTCTATGATCTTATTAAACCCTTTAGAAAGTAAATCCTCTTAGACAATGAAAAGCAGCTTGGTAATGTTAAGAAAGAAGGAAGAGAATGCACTTACAGTTTAGATATGGAAGTCAAGGTGGTGAAAGCGTCACTATGAATCCAACGGATGGAATTCCTGCTGAGGTCCCTGCAATGGTACAACAAACATGCATTGATAATCCTTTGAAAAAACATTCAGTTTCTGCAAATGAAGCTTTGCAAGTCAATTCTTCACAACTGATATTTCTGTTTTTGATTCTGGTGGGCTAAAATACCTGTCCAAGAGCCAAACTGGCTTGGGATTGTCAAAACGTTTGATTAGTCCAAACCCAGGGCTCCTGTATAAAAAAAAAATGATGCAAAGCAGCCCACACAGTGTCACTGGTGGCCAAGATGTAGGTGGGTGCACAGCTCATGGTTGTTATGGTGTGCCTGCTTACATCTTAGCAACCAACAGCACTGTGTGGGCTGCCTGGTTATCCTTTGCAAGGGTACAGGCAACCTGGGTTCAGAAATTTCACTAAACTCAGGCCAGTTCAGCTCAACCTTACTCCATGCGATAGATTCCATCTCTGCCTCTTCGAGGAGGCCCTTGAAAAGACAGTCATCTTGGCCATCACCAAAGAATCAGGTGTTAGCTTGTATTAAGAGCCTAGAGAGACAAATGAAACTGACAGCGCTTGGAATGGTGCTAACCCGGAGCACTGCATCATGGAAGGAGGCCACAAGCTCCCCTATACCCAGACGCACTAGGTAATTTTTGAACCAGAGGAAAGATTGGTGGGGTATTGTTGGGAGGAAAACATTTCAGTGGGTTGTGATGGCTTTACATAGACATTGTTACTAGTTACCCAAACGCACAAAGTGACATTGTCCCTTTAAAAGCTGAATTCCAAGCAGATAAAGACAACTTTTTTTTTTAATTTTATGAATTACTCATTAATACATCTTTAAAATTATTTTCTTTAAATGAAAACCCTGTAAGCTCCATGTAAGCTCCGACAGACCAATGTGAAGCCTACACAGGGATTAGACTCATCACTCTAACAGATGAACAGATCAGAAGTGGCGCATCGGAAAAGGTGCCCAGTCAAAAAGTTTTCACTTTGCCCTAAATTCTTTTTAAAGCAGAACAAACGTGAAAAAGTAAACACATTTTGAGCTGGGAAGCTGATTATTGCAAAAGGACATATTGAGGGAGATTTATTAAAGCTGGTTCCCTCAGAATCCTGTGCAGATGTGCATGGTAGCCAATCAACTTCTAACCTCAGCTTGTTCAAGTAAACTTCTGCATGGAAACCAATCAGATTACAGGTTTTATTGCCAAAGTACACAATATTCTGAGTGAACCAGCTTTAGTAAATAAACCCCACTATGTCTTTTCTGCAATAAAACAAATTTACCTGCCTATTGGCAATCTTCTTTTGAACTCCACGTACACTCCTCGGCGTCAGAATTAATGAACTAATTCCGTACATGTGCGGAAGTTACATCATCTCATGTCAGCCAATCAAGACTGCTGAAGACCCTACTCCCAGAAAAAGTCAGGGAGAAGAGGTCAGTGCCAGCAAGGGAGCTCACAGAGGTCGCCTCTTTGGAGACGAGCACTTCCGGACTTGTCTCCTCTTTAAGACCATTACAATGACAGAGTAAACGTTCACAGGTTAATATTTACAGGTACAGCAATAGCCCTAGAACATAACAGCTACACGATATGCAGGCACTGCACTTCTGAAAGCCCAGTGTGTGATAATAGGAGGTGGCCTCAGCCTTGACTCCTCCTAAGCCACTCCTGCTGACGTGTTTCACCCTCTATGAAGAAGGCTGGCCATACATTATACAATTTTCTTTCAATTTCCTCTAGGCGCCTGCCTGATTGCATACAAATTGAATATGTTTAGGTTTGACCTCATATTATATGGTTTTGGTAAATCTAATGAAAGATTGTACAAGAAAATTGTATAATGTATGGCCAGCCTAAGGCGGTGCGAATTGTGTCAAGGGGCGAGATTGAGGCTGCTTCCTATTAGTATCACACAATGGGTTGCTGGAAGTGTGGCGCCTGCACATCGCGTAGCTATTAAGTTCTTGGGATGAGCATTCAGACGCCAACATCCATTCCAACTGTGGATCACTGGAGCAGAATATTCAGCATTTCGAGCGGTGCTCTAAATTACTTGAACAGGTCACAGTGAATACAGCAATACCCATGGCTGATAATTCAACTAAAATGGTGCATCTAATATGGTGACCCAGATGCCATCCTGCTAGAACAACTACCTGAGATACACACCTAAGAAAGCCAGGTAAAAAGAGGTAAACCTATTGTAAGAAAGAAGGAGCATTTCATTAGACTGCATACTTACAGCACACGTAACGATGTCAAGCCTTGTAAAGACTCGTTTTGAACTTCAGTAATTTGATTGTGTTGCAGGTAACTAGAAGCAGAACAAACATTAATCTACAAATTCTAACCTGCTGTGTACGACAATAAAAATAATTATAGACCAAACTACTGACATCACTTTTTTATGACAGTAACCATATTAAAGTTTACTTGGTACACCAACACCTTCTGAACGCTTCTCTGATGCCAAATCAGTATTTAAAGGCATACAATAAGTATACACAAAAATCAAACACATTATGAAAGACCAAAATAAAGGTTTATTCCTCTCGTTAACATACATTGCCAGGCCATTTCATGTGGCCCTCTCACTTTTCCAGCAGCTGTGGCCCCCCCCCCCCCCCTTGTCTGCACTACCACCTTGTCCAAGCCATCATCAGCAGAGAGGACGACAGAACTCCTCCACCAGATCCTGCACTCCATGAGGTCCCAGAGACACTCGTCTCTGCCCCCATTCTCTACTTTTGTCTCAGCAGTCGGCAGCAGAGAAGAGGACAGAACCTTTCCTGCAGATCTTGTGCCTCTGCAGCAGCCACTGCAACCCCCTTCCCCCCCATCTTTGGCTCACCTGGTCCCAGCATTCAGCAGACTCCAGAAGCTAACTGCAGCCCTTCTCTGGTCCTCCTCCAGACACTTCACTTTCTACTTCACAGCTCCACTCCCAGCTTCTGCCCAGCAGCAGCAGAATGTAAGTGGTGTGCTCTGTGATGTACAAGAGGGTGGGGGACTCTTGACTTCTGATGGTGGGGGGGTCAAGACATTAAATGTAAAAAGGTACTCTGGACATCTAGCCTTACAGATACAACCGGCCCTTTGAGTGCAAGCATAATGCTGATGCGTCCCACAATGAAAATGAGTTTAACATTCCCGATTTAAGCCAAAATGTATTTTTTCATGTTGAGGGTTAGAACTCTTTTCAGGTTTATACTGTTGTGTGCGTTTCCACTGGAGAGCGATTCACCCGTCCAGTTAAAAAGGGGACTATAGTCACTGGGGCAGAAAGTGATGGTGATAACTTTGTGAGAGAGGATTACCATTAATTTTGGATAGATTTCTGCTCAATTCCTAATGTGTCTCAGGGACAGGAAGTGAAGAGAAATTTTCCAATTGTAAGAAAGACAAAAGAAAATACTAAAAAAAAAAAAATAAATTTTGTTTGCTTTACATACAATTTAGGTAGCAATTATATGTCTTTTGGCAATATTCATCATGCTAAAATTACAGTACACAGTCACATAAAAAAAAGCCTATGATTCAGAAAGCAGATCAGGCCCTTGGAGACGAGTGTGGTTATCTTACGGTTGGATCACACTGAATCCGACTTTGAAATCATGTGACTTCACATGAAGTCACACGATTTCAAAGTTGCATGTCAGTGTGACTTTAGGTGCAACTTGACTGACATTGATGCAACTTCATGTACAGGTGTCTATGTAAGTTACACCAAAAATCGCAAAAAATAGCGGCAAAACATTTTTTTTTAATCAGTGCGGCCCCGCAAAGTCAGAGTTGCACTGATTTGAACAGTTCCATTCCCGACAATAGGATGCGATACTTTCAAATCGCATAACAAGTCGCACTGGTGTGAACCAGGGCTAATTACAATATATAAAGTTAATTACATGCTCATTCGGCTCATACATAGACCAATCATTTTTAATAGGTTGCAGAAATCTTATTTGCATAAACATTTCTGGAGTTTTCACCCAAGTCTTAGAGGAAGTGATAAGCAATATCAAGGAAACTTTGAAAAATCTGTGAACAGGGTCAAAAAAAAATGAAAAATAAAAAAGGACAATAGTAATAACTTTGCCTCTGAATGCTTAAAGCGGAGTTACACTCACTCTGTAAAAAAAAAAAAAAAAAAAAAAAAAAACTGTAGCTGCTGATTTTTAAAAAACAGCCACTCGCCTGTCCCACGATCCCGCGTTTCACCGGCCGTCCTGTATTAAGGGCGCTGACATCTTCAGTGTGGGCCCCCGGCTGTGACAGCTTGCAGCTTCACAGCCGGGTGCCCACGGCGCATTCACGAGTAGCGCTGCGCTTCATGAATAGTCCTGTAGTCTTCTGGGACCTGTCATGTGTCCCACAAGACTTCAGGGAGGGAGGGTGGTAGGACAACTTCCGTTTCCGATCGCCTAGGCGACTGCATCGGAAGTGGGAGCGGGTACCTGTCAAATCCGGGTACCTGCTCCCCCCCCCCCCGCCCCCCAAAGGTGCCCCAATCATTAATGGGGAGCGGAGGACCAATTTTTAAAGCGGAACTTCCCCTTTTGAGTGTAACTCCGCTTTAAAGATACATGGGAGATTGAGTAGATCAAATTTTGTCTAAAGCTGGCCATCTGCGACTCGAGTTTCTGCAACTCCTGCTGAATTTAATGAAATCCAATCAAGCCATTGGTGGTCATGTCGGCACCACCTGGCTAGAAAATTGCCGGCTGAACAGTAACTGCATCCAATCAGATGCAGTCAATGTTTAGGTATTCCAGTAACCACATCTGTGTAAATCTAATAGCCGGCAGTTGAGATTCTGCAGTCCATGCTGTTCAGCATGGATGGGGGAATCGACTGAATGCTCTCATTCTAACGCAATGATGACTAAGAAAAAATGAAACGTGTACGGCTATCCTTAGTCGATCAAAGATGTGCATTGCTGCTTCAACCATTACATAGACCATACGAAAGGATCTGCTGCTTACATTTCCTCCAATGAACCGCATCCCTTCAATCCATTCAGATCTGTTATTTCACTATAGGAAAGGTCTCTAGAACACAAAGAGGGAACAAGAATCAAGCAAGTTAGAGTGAATTCGTAGTGAACATAATACCAATCACTCAAATGAAACCATTCAAGCCAGAAATATGAATGGCATAAAAATATGAGAATGGTCATTGCCGACTTATTTGGAAGGTACCAGCTTTATACTTGCTTCACTATTTGGTCAATCAATAACCAGGAAAAAATACGCATATGACAGTAAACTTTACATGCATATGACACTCCTGTGTCTCTGACCTGCAAAATGGTGAAGCAGCAATGATGAAGCTCCACATTTCTCCATGGTTAGTTCTCCCTTAAAGTGTTAATAAACCCACAACAGTAAAATCAGTGTGTATACACAGTAAAGCATGCTTGTTATACTCACTGTGGATCCTAAGGGGTTAATCCTCCATATTGTGTAAAAAGGCAGTTTGATCCTGTCTTCTCAGATCCTCCCCTTCTACTGTCCCCAATCCATCTGCTGATAGTACAGAGCTCTAGGAGGCACTCTGCACACGCTCAGTTTAGTGTGCATTGCTGGAGAGTTTTTTTTTTTTCTTTTTGGGGGGGGGGGGGTGGGCATGTGATCAGCACAAGGCCAAAACCTCTATGTGGAGGATTAACCCCTTAGGTTCCACAGTGAGTATAACAAGCATGCTTTATTGCACAGACTCACTGTTGTGGGTTTAGTAGTACTTTAATTTCTCCCCATCTCAGTACCAGCTGGCTCTGCTGAGGTCCATAACGTTGTTATCCAGTACAATCTTGAATGGCTTATCCTCTTACTTTGTCTGACTACTTGTTCAGCAACGATGCCGACCGACCCGACACAGAAATAGCAACCAAAGGCAGAATGTAAAAAATCTGTTTGAACTCGCAATCACAGCATAGCAAAAAAGAAAAATGTCAAGCGGAACCTCAAAAATTTTATTCAGGTAAATGTTTTTGCTACTCGGGCTGTTTACGCACTGGAAATGTACCACAGTACTCACATTACATTACATCTTGTAAATAGCCTTAGAACCTCATGTGATGGGTGTACTTGCATGGGTTCTTTTGAGAGCCCAAAGATGGTGTCCGTGCCGGAAGTGACGTCACCTACGCGTTGCATCACGGCACACATGACTTCATCAGGGTCATCAGACCCTGAAGAAGTCACGTGTGCCATGAGGCAACACGTAGGTGACGTCACTTCCGACGCGGCCGCCATCTTAAAAGAACCCATGCAAGTAAACCCATCACATGAGGTTCTAAGGCAATGTAATGTGAGTGCGTTGGTTTTATTTATCTTTATTGCATAATAAACAATATCATGCAATGGAAGTTTTTTCTCTTTATGGATCCTGTGGGAGCTGGTCATATTGATTAGAGCCATTTAAAAGAGAATATTGAGCTGATCTTGGTCTGGAAGGCATATGCTGTTACTTCTGTTGTGAAATTGTTTGGAGGATACAATTTGATCTGGGAGGATCCAGGAGTGATCCAAAAGGCTTGTAGGCCCTTTTATGGTCACGGTAAGGAGCCAATCTAGCTGTGTGTGGATTCATCACCAGAGGCTGCAACGCACAAGAACCACCTGCAAGTTTTTACATTTTTTTGTGGACACTGGTGTCACAAGTTGTCAGATTGGATTTGCGTTTATATATTTTATAGAAGATTTATATGTGTTTTATTCACAATATTGTTACTGGTTCATTACCGGATCAATCTTATATTTCTATAGGGGTTTTATATATTCATTTATATATTTATTAAATGAGTGTTTTGGACACAGCACTTTTTTTGTCACTTTTTTGCAGGATTTATCCCCCAGTGTTGGGATCACATGTGTGGTTTTTCAGTATATATCAATACATTGTATTGAGCTTATTCACTTGTGTTAATTTATCCAGTATTGGAACACTAAGTTGGTAGTTTTTTCACTATTAACCACATCAATAGTCCATATTGGGAATTTCAGTCACGGTTTACTTAGAGAGCGCTTTGTATTTTTGTCCTCCTTCACGTTTCGGTAAGAAGGTACAGGTGTTAGCAGCCTTTTATACCTACATTAGGTTCTAAGCGCAGGAGGTCCTCTTTATATATTTTTCGTACCACAGTAACCCTTTCGTCACTGGATACAATAGCATTTTAAAATATAGATTTTGTATAATGGATTACGAACGTCGACCCAAAATATGCTTCATACCAGGATGAAGCAACATGGCACACATAAGCAAATTAAAGATGTATTCACTTACAGAGATCGAAGCATCTTCTGCTCCTGGCACAGATTCAGTGGAATGCTTCTGACCTTTGTGCCTGTTAACGTCCTGTAAAAACACAAGAAAGGTATTCTGAAACTTGATCTACATCTATAGGCTGCTATGTCAAATATTTAAAAAAAATATTTTTTTTTCTGCATTCACTGACAGGTTCCCTATTGAGGTCAGCTTCCAAATTCTTCCACCACCTCCAACTCTGACCTGACAGACAGCAATCTACAGAAAAGTAATTGCATGTGAGCAATGTACAACTGTACCTGCTAAACTACTCATGCGGCCAGATGGCTGTTAGAGGAAGTTAGAAAAGGTTCAACAGAGCTGTATAAAAGGACTTGGGTGCCACCCTTCTAAACATGGCTGAACTGATGTCATGTTGCTTTTAAAGGAAAAGTTCAACTTAAAAAAAGGAAAAAAAAAAAAATGCGCATTACTATTTTTTTTCTTCAGAGCCTGGAGAACATTGCACCCACAATCAGCAGATCACGGGTGCAATGTAAGGCTTCTGCAGACTGTCAGTGAAGCCATCTTCCCACACCTCTGAAACGGGCAGGCAGCTACTGAACGACAGGAAGCATCAATCAACTCACCAGGACCCTTTTAGTTCATTGAGAGCTACAAGCCATCAGCTGCAAAGGCTGTTGGGTACTTGTAGTCTATCCACTTGCCTTCCAGAAGATTTACCCCCCTTCATGACCAGGTCAATTTTTGCGATATGGCATACTTTAACTGGCAACTGCACAGTCATGCAATGCGGTACGCAGATTAAATTTTGTCCTTTTTTTCCCCCACAAATAAAGATCTCTTTTGGTGGTATTTGATCTTTTTTTACTTTTTGCGCTATAAACACAAAAAGACTGACAAAAAAAAATTCTGCTATAAAACATGTCCAATAAAAATGTAAAAATCAAATTTCATAAATTTAGGCCAAAATTTATTCTGCTTTATTTCTTTGGTGAAAAAAAATAATTGAATTTGTATTTTTTTTTTCAAAATGTTTGCACTGCTGCACTCTTTTCCAATTGTGAAAGGGAGAGAAGATCCCCTGCCTGCTGTCACAGGGAGGTGGAGGGATGTGGTGGAGAAGTGGCAGAGCTGCAGGAGTGCAAACATGTTCCACCCTTAAAATGGGTGGAACATGTAAACATGTTCCCAAAGATTAACTTATCCTAAAAAGGGTAAAAAGGCTTTGTGCATGTGACTAATGCAGGCCATACATGGTTCAAATTCTGAGCGATTTTTCGTCCGAAAATCAGAAACGTCGTTCGCTCGGTAATGCGATCGTGCCATCATTGATTTTGAAAATCGGCTGACCAAGTCATAAAGTTCACCTCATATAACATTCAAAACTTCTGTTCCTTCCTGTTCATGGCTCACGCGCATATTTGTTTTCAGAAAAACTATCGTACGATTTGCCCATCGAGTCGAAAATTGGTCGTTTTTCACAACTTTTCCAACATGCCCGATCACCGAAAGGAGAGGAGAGGAACCACAAAAATCGGCCGGTGCCATTGACCCACTAACAGAGCGAAAATTGGCCGATTATTCTTAGGTCCAATTTTTGGATGAAAAATCGGTCGATTTTCGACCCATGTATGGCCGGCCTAAGGAAAATGTGTTCCGGCAATTTTTGAACTATAATTTTCCTCTCAACACAATAAGAACATTGGTTGCTATTGAAATCCCCTACAACATTTTTTCCTCCAGCTTTCATCCTAAAGTCTGGCACAGCTCAATAGTTCCAGTAACTTGCAACACTCACAGGCTTTCCAGGTTCACTGTTCCAGTCAAGTTTGGGAACCAAAGGATGTCAGATGCTCCTCTAATGACTCTAATGAACAAAAGTTAAAAACAAAAAGTCAATGAGACTTCAAAATACTTCTTTCAACCACTCTGACATGTAAACATGGAAGCAGATTATGAAAGGCTAAAATTGTCGGAGATTCCAGTTTATTATACAAATTTCACAAATGCCGTTTGCTGGGTTCACTACCAGCCATTCTTTCCATCTGCAATCCATCTTTCCATAGCATAAAACAACTAAAAAGATAGATGGAGGCAGGTACAAAAAATACCACCTTGCAGCCGATACAAAGAAGTAGGTACCACTGTGCACATCATGAGATTTTCATGTTTCGTGCAGCCTAGTTTTGTGTTTGGTATTCTGAGTGGGAGTAGACAAATGAAGGATCATCTTACATGCTGCCTGTTCATTGTTTGTTTGGTTCTGACAGCTGTAATATGAATGTAATTTTTTTATATTACATTCAGCCTGACCACTCTGTGCATGGTTTTGTGAATAGAAGGAGAAGACTTATGGTCAGATTATATGCATCCTAATCATTTTGTGTTTGGTTTTGACAATTGGAATATAAAGCTCAATGATCAGATCATGTTCAGCCTGAAATATTTAGTTTGGTTCTATGAGCTGAAATAGAAGAATCACTGGTAGTGACCATTCTGTGTTTGGTACTGCAAGCTGCAATAAAAGGACACAATTATCAGATTACATGCAGAGGTGAGTGAGGGGAGGGAGCGCTGATGGAGGAGTGAGCATGCTCCAAACTCGCCATCTTGGAAACCTGGCCCATGCGGTGATATCATCCCTGCAAGCCTCCCTGTACCCCTATTCTGCTCCCCGAGCCCTGGACACCACCGGAGCAGTGGGAAAACACCTGTGTCCAAAGGACCTGATGCTCCCAATGGACCTCCATCACTTGACATGCCTGTCACCCATCTATGAGTGCAATTTTACCATTAAATCTGCCTGATTTTAACCATCTACACTTAGAGTGGCGCTGCTGTTTCTCTTCTCTATCAGATTACATGCAGCCTGCTCATTTTGTGTTTAGTTCTGTGAGCTGGTATTAAAAATAAAAGGATCAGGTCTCATACAGCCTTTTCATTTTGTGTTTGGTTATCCTAGATGGCATTTCAGTTTATTCATGAATGGCATAAAAATTCTTACTTGCCAGTGCTCCCAAAAATTCTTTAAGGCAGAGTTCCACCCAAAATTGGAAGCTCTGCTTATCTGCCTCCTCCCCCCCCCCTCCACTGTCACATTCATGCGTGCCCAGTAGGAAACTGGCTGTCAAGCAGCAAGGCTACTTTTTTTTTTTGGGGGGGGGGGGGGGGGGGGTGGTTGGGCGGAACTCCTCTAAATTCCTCCAATGATGTCACATGCTCCCTGGTCACACTACCTTTCTAAATGCATTAAAATGCTTTTATAAATATTTTGGTAAATCTCAACAGATCAGAGTACAGTTAAACAGCATAATTATAGAAAGCAGACAGAGCCAATATTGGTGTGTCAAGTATCTCACTTCACACATTCTACTAAAGGCTAGACAAGTACTTACAAGAAGCGGAGGTCTGATAAGTTTTGAAAAGCTGAATTCCCAACAAAAGACAACGGATTGTCATACAATTGTCTGTCAAAATTAAATAGGAAAAAAAAAAAAAAAAAACACGACATACGGTTATACTGGTTTCTATAATGAACGTCAAAACAATGGAAGCCTAGAGCTATTATGGTTAGGACAAATCATTCTAGGTGATCTACATGGCCACATGTACTGAAAAAGTCAGAGTTGGGCACTCGTGAAACACTTGGAAAAGTAACCAAAACCTTGTGAACATTTTGTTTGGCTACTCTAGGTTTGCAGAAAAGGTTCTCAAACTTGTCGAAGAGCTGGCTGGCATGCAGTAACTCCTTAGAGTGGAACTAAACCCAACGATTTAACTATATCCCAAAACAGTTACATTCAAGGCATGCCATGATTGATAACTGACACAACTACTTGTGCTCTCAACAGAACTGTCAAGCCATCAAATGGTTGGTGTCACAACTGATCACATGTGCAGCACCATAACAACTGCAGATCGGAGGCCAAGATGGCAGCTTTCTTAACTGAAAAGGGAGGAGGGTTTAGTTTCACTTTAACAAGGTTCCAAAATCCTTTCTACATCAAAAAAAAAGTCAGTTGCTTTATTGTTATTGCCTAATGTAGCTCTACAGACTCTTCAGAATCAAAGTTATATGGCATTTTAGACTAAGGCTTTGTTGAGAAAATAAAAGCTGAATTCTAGGAACCCTATGAGTTAAGTTCAAATATGTGCATGTCATCTCTGGGACTTCTCTCTATTACTTATAGGAGAAAGTGAATCCTGCTGTGAGAGGAGAGAAGTACACAGAGCAGGTATGTCCGCCCCTCCCCTCTGCTACCAATTCACAGAAGCCTTTGTATTTTGTGAATTCATTCACAAAATACAAAGGCTTCTGTGAATGAACAGGCATAGCAGTTCCAGCAACTCTGCTTTTGAAGTAGCTGAGACCACAGCAGGCAGTGTTGTAACTCCAGGAGTTACCTTTCTGGAGAACAGTGAGGTGGCAGACACTTTGTTGGATTTAACTCATGCTATGCCTGCAGTTTTTACAAAGTAGCTGAAATCCAGGAACTCAGCTCTAAAAGTTCTTTAACAGCTGGAGGGGACCAGAATTGGTTTTTGCCATAGCAGTTCTCCGAAAAAAAAAATAAAAACAATTATCTATTTCATTATATATAAATAATATATATATTTTTTAAAATTATTAAGCATTTGTTAAAATGAAACAAAAACAAAATTATACACATAACTCACATGCTTTTCAGCAATGGGTTCTTCTCAAATGCTCCATCGGGGATAGTTGTAATGGAATTGCTGTGAAAACCTCTAAAAATGGAAAAAAGAAATAAAACATTGAAATTCGAAGATGCTTTTTAACCTTTTCTACAACCATCTCTTTAAAGCTTGGCCATGTAAATGTCAGCAATGTATGAAATAGGAAACTTACAGCTCCTTCAAATTGCCCAGAGACTTTATAACTTCGGGGAATTCCACAAGGTTATTATAATTAAGGTCCCTAAAAAAAATAAATCAAACATTGAGGTTAGTAGTTGACCACATGGGTAAGCAAAAGTCAACCATTTTAAGAATCTGAAAGAAAAATCTTTACATACACATGAAATTTCTAAGCGCCTAAACTCATATACCCAAGGAAGACGAATGGGTAAAAGTCAGTGGACCAAACACTGGTCTAATCCTGAGGTTTGGCTCCAAAAAAATCCAACATGACTGATCACTACTTCCTCAAGAACAGCCGGATTGTTTCCTGCAGTCTACTAGCACAGATATAGGGACAGTCATCCGATATGGACAAAAACTGGCTCATTAAAGTAAACCACATCTCAAGTCTATGAATACCATAAAGTACAAATGTACTGAGAGACATATGGATGTCTGGAACAAGTATGCAGCATATAAAGCCATAATCCCGGATCTACATACTTGTTTTCTGTCCAGTAACATGGGATGTGCATGAAAGTAAGACTAGTATTTTTATAAGGAGAGGTCAGCAAGGGAGTGCAGTTGGTTAGGGTTGAGTTCCATGCCGGGACAAGGTTGTAGAGTGCCTAAGACAAAGACGCCAAACTTCCAACCCCACATCGTGCAATGTCCAATCTTCTGCAACTGGGATCCCATTTGCCATTGTTTTTGTCCAAGCATCACTGCACGGCTCCAGGTTTGCCAATTGGGTTTCACATGGACCGTGAAGTGTGCAGGGACAGAGTGGCTTTCAAGGTGGTATTAAGAATGGGGCATGATGCCAGACTGTTGGCACAGAATTACTGCCAGTGTTAGGACCCAGCGTTCACTTTAACTTCTCTCGCACTGCAAGAAAAGGATGCAAAAATGTAAATTCATTGGGTTGTCACCCCAGTCCCATTTAAGGAAAAGAAAAACGTTCCTAGCCTACAGAAATAATCTGGGACAAAGTGCTTTAAGTCTGGATCTATACTCTGACTTTTACTACAGAAACAAAAGCCACATTATACTTAAACATACTCTTACAAAACAAAGTAGAACAGTTGGCGTGTAAATAAAATCAGCGGTATTTTTTTTATCCCCTGCTCAAACCACAGTATTTGTCTTTCCATCTTTAATCACTTCCTTCAGTGTACAGTGTATATCTGATACAACCAAACAATGGCCAGGGGTCAGCTCAGTTCAGACTAGCCACTCCACAGCCGGCTGTATGAGACTTCAGCAAATGGAAAGGCCAGGATGACTTACTGTGGATTATGAAAACCACAAACAAAAAAAATAAATGTCACTGTGACAAGACAATGGCCTTCAGCTAAGCCCATAAGTGCAGAAATGGACAAACATAGATATTTAGACGTAACCTCAATTCAACTACATTCTTTTATCAGGACACTATTCTCACAAAAATAACCAAATCATGGAAACCATGATAATATGAAATGCTAGTAGTGTGAAATTATTTTTTTCACGAGAGATGTTTATCCCTGTCGCTGCCAAATACATTTTTTGCACATGTCAAAATTCAAATTTTAGGCCTGAAGATTAATAAAATCCTCAAAACATATTACCCAATTTGTTGGTAAAACAGATAAGATTAGGTTGCATTGAGTAAACAGATGCCAAACAAGTAACCTTGGTACCCCAAATTGTCCATACGTGACACAGTAACCATGTGTGATGACCCTTTAGGTATTGATCTCACTCTGGCATGGACAGAGATGTCTAATATGCTTACTGCAATAGTTGTTTTTAAATGTAGGTGCACCCACCACACGGGTTTATGTTCGTATATGCATGAACATGGGGATGGGATGGCCAAAAAAAAAAATAATTTTTTGGTGTTTAATGAACCTTTAGTTTTTTTTTTTGTTAACTTTTTTCCTACTTAATTTTATTGCCATCACATTAGGGAGCCAATAGCTAATGGCACCCCCTCCATCACAAAAAACACTGCATGTTTTTGGGTGCATGCGGTTCCATGTGACTTTTATTTTAAGAAAGAAAAAAAAAAACACCACACAAAAAAGGTCAAGGACATTTCCTGTGGGAAAAGCAGGTACAGCAGAAGCCTATTTAAATGGATGGGCTGTTGTGTTGGTGCAAATGTGAGACACAGGGAAGTTATGATGTGAGCCTAACTATAATAAAACTCTTTCAGTGGTATATTTAAACAGACCAAAAGAGAGATGATAAAAAAAAAAAAAAAAAAAAAAAAAACAACAACATAGTTACATACACTTTAGAGTGATTGTAAAGGCAGATTTTTTTTTTTTCAAATAACAAACATGTCCTACTTGCCTGCTCTACACAATGGTTTTGGATAAAGCAACCCCAATTTGCCTCTTTGTGGGTTCCCAGTCACTCCTGGCCTCTCTCTCCTGCCAAGTGCCCCCACAGCAAGAATCTTGGGGGCACCAAACAGGCTCGCTCCCGAGCCACTGCTCTGTATGTTCATTGACACTCAGGATGCAGCTCGGCTCCACCCCCGCTCACTCTTCATTGGCTCACTGGCGGTGATTAATAGTAGTGGGAGGCCAAATGGCTCCAGCTGCTGTCTCAGGCAGTGAAGGAGAGTCCCGGGACTGCAGAGGTTCTCATGCACATCACTGGATTGAAATGGGGCTCAGGTAAGTATTGGGGGGCTGCAGCGCACAATTTTTTTTTTTTTTTTTTTTAATTTAAATGCATAGAATACTTGAAGGTAAAAAACCTTGAGCCTTTACAACCAATTTAAGGCAGGCCATAAATGAAAAATTTTCATTTTCAGTTAACCAGCTGGTTGAATGAAAATAAATCAGTTTCCCCATCCACACATTCCTTTCTGTAGAGCTATTGTATACCAACAGCGTTGGGGCTTCCCTGCCATCAGAACACAATCATCAGCAATGCTGGCTATAGCAGATGCTACTGATCAACATTTTCCAACAGGCTAGTAGTACAGAAGTCAATTGAGAAATAGACTTCTGTGCAACCTGCCAGTCCACAGATGGATCGAAATCCGGTCATTCCCTGCTGAACCGGCTAAATTTTGATTTATCTACGGCCAGCTTAAGGTTTCTATGTATTCCACCAAAACCCAACCCAATCTGGGAGATATTGAGAATAAAATGATAAATCAATTGTTAAGCCTCGCTGCTTTCTAACCCAAGGATTGTCTTGCCAAAATATGTACAGTTTGAAGATCTACAGCATAGGAGGATGGACTGCACTATGTGCCACTTAATCTGTGATCAGAAGAAGCGACTGGCACCACAGTGAAGTGTTTACTGATCCTATCGAAGGAACCTGCTTCATTTCAGAACTGGGCACTCAATGGTTTCTTTCATACCTTCCTCCTTTGTCTGAATGCCTGCCGGTGTTGAATTAGGAGCCGTATCGCTACGCTTACATGGCTTGAAAACAAAGGCCCTTTTTTTTTTAAACATAAATATTCAGTATTTTTCTTTTATTTCCTTGAAAGAGTACAATAAAAGGCTCCTTTCATGAGAACTGATAAGAGCAATGAGAACTATACAGGATACAGGGAAGGAAGTAAGGTAGATACTTTAGTGACAAGTCAAGGGAGACAAATGTGTTTAAAGTTTGAAATGTAAAGAGGATCCTCCTGCGCTTAAATGGGGCCCTAACCCTAAAAGCTGCTAAACACTAACCTTATACCCAATAAGTGAATGAAACAAAAAATACCACAGTGTAGCGCTAACACAAAACTAAATATTAAGACGACAAATAAAAAATATAAATATATATAAATTTTATATAATCATAAATATACATGCACAACAATCAATCCCCCTAAAATCCACACTTGAGGGATCCAAATAAATTAATTAAATTAATAATATGTGCAACACGTGAATTCCCTGTTCGTGGGAACAAACAGTGCAAATGGTGTAGAGTGTCATACCACACACAACAAATATGTGAATGACACTAATAAGTGTACAAAGCCACCAACAAATAAATAATCATGAAATCAAGTCCCAAAAACAACACATATGATAGTGCTCCAACTTCACTCCATGCAAATGGTGGTGTGTAGGTGATCGATAGGCGATTTATCCTTCAGTGGCCAAAATGCCCCCTCACCTTCTTACATAGACCCCAAAGGGCCAGCTCGCTTTAGGGATCAATTGTTCCGTGCCTGGCAGTACACCCTTAGCATGTGGTAGACAAGCGGATATGTAAAGTATATAATGTGAGTGGGCATTTTATATTTATTTATGCTGAAATAAACAAGTTTGCACTATGGAGGATCTTTTTGGTCTTACTATGATACTGGGAGATGCTTGCTGTTAGCTGTGGAGGCTTGAGACGTATACCATCACTCAGGGGAAGCCTGTGAGGAGTCTGTCCTTTATAGGATCGGTTGATCCCTAAAGCGAGCTGGCCCTTTTGGGTCTATGTAAGGAGGTGAGGGGGCATTTTGGCCACTGAAGGATAAATCACCTATCGATCACCTACACACCACCATTTGCATGGAGTGAAGTTGGAGCACTATCATATGTGGTGTTGTTTTTGGGACTTGATTTCATGATTATTTGTTTATTGGTGGCTTTGTACACTTATTGTCATTCACTTATTTGATGTGTGTGGTATGACACTCTACACCATTTGCACTGTTTATGCTCCCAAGAAGAGGGAATTCACGTTGCACATATTAATTTAAATTTAATTTACTTGGATCCCTCAAATGTGGATTTTAGGGGGATGGATTGTTGTGCACGTATATTTATGAATATATCAATTTATATACATTTATTTTTATTGATTGTCGACTTAATATTTAGTTTTGTGTTAGCGCTACACTGTGGTATTTATTATTTAGTGTTTAAAGTTTGACCTAAAAAAAAAAAATGGAGAGATGTCAGATGAATGTGTCACAAGGTAGGCTCCATGTGTTACTGGATCATTATGAACTCAATTCTGCTACAAATACATTAGAAAGGTGCACTTTTTTCATATTCGGTTGCGTGATCGAATAAAAACTTACTGCAACATAACAATTATGCTACTTAAAAAAGAATTCCAGGTGTGACA